AATATCATCAATATTACCAATAAAGTAGCAGTTTTTAGATAGTTCAGTATATTCCTCTTGCTTATTAACAATAGTACTATCTAATCTATTGGTTGCAATACATCATATTTGGTTTTTTTATTTTGTAAACTCATATGATCAATTATCAACTGATTTGTAAATAAAAATTTACTATTAGATTTTTTTTTTTGTAATTCTAATAGATTAAAGTTGCTTTATAATAATCTTCTCACTAAATCTATACTTTAATAACTTTTAATAACTTTATATTCTTTTTAATATCTTCGCTTCAAATTTTATAAAAACATTCTAAATTATTGTCACTTTCATGTAACAGCTTATTTTTTCTAAAAAAAATTATTATTTACGCTTCAAGAAATAATAAATAAATCATTTTAGCTTTCTAAATAAAAAATTAATTTCTTTGTTGTTTTTCAAGAAAGCGAGGTTTCACATTTTTAGGTTATAATGTATTCATTTAAAGTTTAAATTGTCTGAATGCTAACGTTATTAAACTTTAAAGATTTAGAATTTTGTTAGGAAAAATCATAGCAAATAATTAGGTATTTACAAAATCTTAAATAGTAAATCTTACTAGAGATATAGTTTTGATTTAATTAGTTGACAACACACACCAATATTCAAATAGTAATAATGCTTATTCAAATATTCGAGTATATTTGAATTATTCGAATACTCTTATATAATTCTAAACATTATTTTTAAATATGTTAAATTTGTTATTAATAATTTATTTTGTAGTTTAAACAACAGTTAAAGAAAACTTTTACTAAATGGTGGGATAATTTGATATTTCAATAGCCAAATTTATTGCATATAACTAAGGTTGACACAATCTCAATACAAAATTTTTACATTTGAATTTTGAGCGTATGGACACCCATATATTATCATTTTTTACATGAAAAAAGCCAAAGTAACTGACTTTTGCAATTAATATAGGAATCTGATAAACATTCTTCAAAGTACAGTATTTTGGAACGCCATTTAAGATACGTTAACCTAATTTTCTCAAAATACTCAAACACTCAAATGGATTAAATATTGAAATTTATTATCCACAATATGTATTTGCAATCGAATTACACAAGATATATAGAATGCTTTCATAATGGTGATCCTAATAATTTTATTCACAGGATCAACTCAAGAAAGAATTATGCGAAAAGAACTAGATTGCCTTAAGGTATGTTTAGTATTACGAGCATCTTCATGAATTGGGTCTTATTAGACTGTTATATACACATTTTTTTATTTTCTGATATACACATATACAACACCATAACAGACTGTTTAGAAAATAATGAGCACAAAATTATATTTATGAATACATATGCTGCGCTACTAGTAATAGAAAGTTATTCGAATTTTTTTTGCTGATTAAATTTAGCTATAGAATTCTCATTTAAAGGAAAAGAAATCATTTCGCTCCTTGTAATTGTGGAATTTGGTTGAAAATATCATTTTTAAGAAATTTATATAGTTGCCTACAGGGTTTGTAATGCGAAATATTGTTTAGAACATTGTAACCAATCAGACCATGTTTGACATTAGTTAGATTTTTTTGTTATGCATAAATTTCGTTGGTCCTAATCCAGCCAGTTCATTACCTAGGCAAATGAGCCATCACCATATCCAGAAGCTATAACAGGTTTCCTTTTCTAACCATCTTAGCTATTATGTAATTTTTGTTTTACAAAATGTAGGATTATAGTCATTAAGCCTGTATAAATTACAATTTGCTCTACATTTGCCATTTTCACTTTATCTAGGAGAATTTACTGTATTTCGAAACAAATATGTATTTGGCAAAAGAAATCCAAACTATATCATTCTTATTAAGGTATTGACAAGGTATAAGATATCATATAATACCTGTCAATGTCCTTATGATCCATAAATTGTAAATAACACGAACCTACCACTCTTTATTTATATTATCATCAATTGCTAAAATTTATGCAATTCAACAATACGTTTATGAACAAAAATATAAAAGCATCCTGAATATTCTTTCTCCAGTTTATTCTCTACTTCACTTGATCTGTACCTAACCAATTTCCCATTTCTGATTAATATATGAGTACCTTTTGATGAATCAAAAGTCTTAGAATAAAGTAGACAATAATATTCAAGTGCATTTGCAGCAAGTTCTTCCCTATATAGATCTCATCTGAATCGATAACATAATTAAAAATTAGGCAACAGTCAATAATACGCATTGATGAAAACCAACCGAAATCTGAGCCAGTGAAGACTATACAAAGAATATGTTAGTAAAAATGCAATCATGCTAGATCATAATTATTAAGTACCGTAAAATTTCTTCCATTTATCTTTATTTTCTGTAAATGTATTGAGTCCTAATTTTTCTGCGAGCTTTTCGAAGTCACCTTCGATAATTTCTGAATCTGTGTTGTTTTGTTTTACATCTTTGAGATCACATGAGTCCTTCAAACTCAGGTTTTTAGAAAACTTTTTTTCGAGATCAGATTCTTCAAATCTATACGAGAAATTAGAACATAATAAAAAGTGTATAAATAAACATATATGAAATTACAAACTAGAAGTAGTATTGCTATTTTTAGGTGAGTTGGTTAGAATTTTGACAACTTTAATACCTGCGGGTAGGTTGGCATATTAACATTCTGAAATGCGCTATATTTTCTGAAACACAATAATACCTACCTTTTTTTTGAATATTTTTGGTATTTTTAGTAGTATTTTTGGCAATTTTGGCAACATTTTGGTATTACTAAGTTTACATATAGGAGGGCAAATTTTAGTTCTTAAGTGAGACAATTATCATCACGTATCTAACGATATAAAATGCAATCATATTCAGGAACCCCTCTGATTACGAAAATATCACATTAAGATAATAATTTTCCTAAGTAACATAATTGTAACTATGTATACTTTGGCCATTTTAATTATCAAGACGAGATGGCGCAATTTTGAAATGAGCCAATTGACGCATCTCATTTGACCATATGAAATTTATATAAAATTTGACTCACTTATATCTGAAAAGCTGGGTTAGACATAATAAAGCTTCAAAATAGCTACCTTTATAATGTTAAGTTCATTGTATTTGATATAAATAAACCAGAGAATGATCTTCTTATGATTTGGCTAAAGTTTAAGATAGAGGCATAACAGAAGCATAATGAAAAAATATATAAAAAATAAAAGAGGTGAATAATTAAAAATGCTTATTCTAATAATTTTATTATATTAAACTAACCGATTTCTAGCAATACAAAATTTTTTTTACATTATCAAAATCTACAGTTAATAAATTACTTATTATCTCTTTTAGCAATAATATTTGTTATAGTTGTGATTGTAATTGTGATTGTAAAGTAGAGTCATTACTTTTTTTATATTGTGGTGGTAAGATTGATGTTTTCTTGTAATGTTTTTCTAATATATTCAATCATATTCAATGATCAAAAAGTATAATCTGATTAATATATTATTTTATAAATATATGAGTAAAAGAGAAATTTAAAAATTATCTGATTTCTTTCATAAATGCGTTTTGAATTCCTTATAAAATTTAATATTTTTCTTTTTTTAGATTTTCTTTTAATATAAAATTGCATTAGCTAAAAAGGAAAGGTTGATTGATTTTGTAAAATAAAAAAATAATACTATATTATAAATTGATTTTTATTAAGATACTTTTCTAAAAAAATTTTTGCTATTTTAAAGATATCATAGAAATTTTTATTATTTTCTTTCTTTTTATCAATTAGTAAATAAAGTTAAGTATTATATATATTATTAAAAACTTTTTTTTTAAATATAATAAGAAAAAAGAAATCATATTATTTTATATATTTTTCTAAATCACATTTTGTAATTATATAAAAAAAGAAAGAAAAAATATAAGATAAATCATCTTATATTAAATAATATTTGTAAATGTATAATTTATTGTAAAAAGTTTATAAAATCTTAAGAAAATTGTAAGAAATTAAACTTGTAAAAATGTTTTATTAAAAGAAATATAAAAACATGAAAAAATCAGATAATTAAATTAAATATATGATCAGAATAATTGTATTATTTTGAAAAGAATGATAAATTATAAATAATACTTTTAAAATTTATTTGTATTATTCTAGATATTCTATTTACTCATCAAATGAAAGGTTATATGTTAAAAGTAAAGATATTTTATCCTAATACTTATTTCTTAAATAAAATTTTTATAAGTTTATAACGTTACATTAATTATAGGTAAAATATAATTTTTTTAATATCTTATTCAAAAATATTATAAAGAAATTCTGATATATTAGAGATAAATTTTAATATTTAATATATTAAAATATAGAGGATAATTATAAGGAAGTTTTGAACAATATCTATTTCTTCTAAATTATTTTTCAATCTTTCTTATAAAAGTATTTTAGTTTCAGATTTTATTTTTGATATAATCTGAAAATATATTAGTAAAAATAAGTGTAAATAAAGAAAAAAATACTATTAGAATATATTTATATATAAGATATGTTTTCTTTTAGTTTTAGTATTTTTAAATTTTTTTTTGTTTCAAAATTTTACATTTATATTCTATAAAATTTATAATAATATTATTATAATAATATTTTAACAACTATATACCTAATTAATATTAAATTATCTATATATATATTAATGTATTTAATTTTAAAAGTGATGTGATATCTTCAAATGCAATTTTCATTTAAACTATTTCAAAAATGTTATTCAAAATCTAATAAAATAAAAAATTTATTTACATAGGTTTAGATATATTATATTTTATAAAATCTATATAAATAATAATTTATAATTGCCAAATACTAATAGCATAATAGTAATAATCTAAATATTATTTTCATCAGACATTATCTATATGTTTTGTAAAATATAACTTTATATATAAACTAAAATAATCTTTATATTTATATTAACTAAATTAAAAATATTAATATAATTTACTTTTATTTTAATTCTTCATCTTAACTAAAATTTTAAAATTTATTTAAATGCAATTTATCTTTAATTAATATGATCTTTTTAATACTTAAATAAAATTCTGAACTTTTTTATTATAATTATCAATCTAACTTTAAATCTAATACATTTATAAAATAATATAAATATAATATTTGATATTAAAATAAAGTCAATAAAAAAATTTTTATTATTAAAACTTTAAAGAATAGTAAAAATAACACAAATATAATATTTCTTTATATTACAATTTTAAAACTCTTGTAATTTTTATTTAAATCTCTAAATATTAGGATTAAATAGAAAATATATAATACTAAAATTACTTATTTAAATATATTTTAGATTTAGTAAAATGTTTAAACATTTTATTTTACTAAGATTTTAATATAGTTTTGCTATTTATAATTTTAATATAGTTTATTTTTTCCTAAATTTGCAACTTTTTAATAAAGTTTTAATATAATTTTACTAAATTTTACTTTTACTATTTAAATAACTTATAAAACTTTTAAGTTTATCTAGTAATCTTATATAATATATTCTAATACTAAAATCTTTGTATATTATCAGCAGAATAATTAACTAATGAAATAAAGTTATATAACTTATGCAGTATGATGACCTTTTAATACAAAATTCTAAAATACTATAAATTTTATGAATTCTGAGAATATAGAGAATTTACAAATTTTATTGATCTTTTAGATACTAATAATAATTTTAATTTTACAAATTAAACAAAATTTAAGAATATTCAATATAATACTTATTTTAATATTCTACTTTTTATTATTTTTTTTATTTTATTACATAATTATATTTAATTTATTTATATTTTATCTATTAAATTAATTAGTTTATAGCATAATAATTAATTAGTCATAATAAAGTGATTTTGTATAAATAGATAGATTTTTTGATTATATTATAATTAAGTTTTTTTATTAGTTAACTATAATAAAGTAATTTTATATAAATAAATAGACTTTTTATTTATATTATAATTAATTTTTTTTATAAGTATAAGTTTTAATATTATTCTTTCAAATGTTTTATAAGCAAATTTATTTAAAATTTTATTTAATAATTAAAATTATTTATAATAATTTTAAATAAATTATTTAAAAATTAATATTTTATAATAATTTTATGATATTTTCTAAATAAAATTCAAAAAAAAAATATAATTAATTAGTGATATTTTAAAGATAAATACATAATAAATTATTATGAAAAAAAGTTAAAATTTTTAATTTATATATTTTGTTATCTATTAACTTTTAAATATAAAAATATAATCATTTATAGGTCTTAATAAAATAAATCTAATAAATTAAATTTTATTTGTAATTATTAATCATTAGATAATAAGTTATTTTTAAAATTGAAAAATTAAAACATTAATATATATTAATAATTATTAATTTTAAAATTTTAAAAATACTATTAATAAATATATCTAATATGATAAATTTAATAAACTTTAGTAGTTATATTTTGGGCTTTTTGGCACAAATTCAACTAGCTAGTCCAAATGCGTCTAGAAGGTTATCCTAAGTATCAAAAATTATACACATAGCGTAAACCCATTGTTATCATTATTGTGATCTTAAGGAACTCAGGTTTTTGGCACAAAAAGCCCAAATGCGTCCAGAAGGTTTTCCTGGGTATCAAAAATTTAACACATAGCGTAAACCCAT